ACTATAGCATTTATTAGTTTGTCATTGGTTAACAAATATAAAAATTGGCCATGTGGTCTCGGCATAGAATAGGCCACACGTTCCTTTTCCGTGGGTGTCGTATGAGGCGACTAAGAGAGGGCGAGGGATGGGCAGCATGGGTTTCTCTTGAAACATCTCCAAAGTCTGACTGCGGTTGCCTATCCGCCTGCCAAGACGGACTCTATCAATATAACCTAAGGTTAAGATAATATAGTGAATATTATTATTTGTTACCACGTAATGCTCCAGGCATTATAAAATTTAGTAGGTATACGTCTAATATGTGGGATGAAAATGGACACAGCCTATTTTGTATCTCAGTCAGTGAACATATCCTGGTTACGTGGTCGTAGTATCGGTTTTTTATGCTATTTAAAAGGCAGACAAGCTGACGGCTTACCTAGTGGAAAATGGTAACCGTCGCCTATAGACAGAAAAAAAAGGTAAAACTTTTACGGACTCTATGAAGCACGTAGTTTTATGAATCGCAATGGCAACTGTTAAATAAAAAGATTTCGGTGGAATTTTAGATTTCATCACTTACTTCATCTCACACTAAGGTCGCTGGTCCAGAACTCCCGAAAGGTGCATTGTCGATGCCTATTTTCAATCATTTACCTATGTCATAATTATATATATTACATAATTTATTAATTTACCTCAAATAAACTGATGATTTACAAATATTTGCATCATTTCTCAAAAAATAATCCAGGTCGGTGTGTTCGATTTCCCGCGCAAAATGACACTCCTGTTGCGCGGCGTCCGCACCAGAGGGCAGTAGTGTCCATACATCCCCATAGTTAAGCATTTACAGGGCCGATATATATAAAAGTATGTGTGTGTGTGTGTGGTAATGTGAGAGTGCATTGCTTCGAAAGTATTAAACCCACGTTCGTACTAAATCATTAAAATGGACGTAAATTCTTAAAACAGTGGACAGAAATAACTATTGTTATAACAATAGAAGGATTAAACATTGTGATACTGTGAAAGATATTTCTCGAAAACGGCCAGTCACTTAAATATTGTCTATGATCTTGTTATAAGTAATATTAATAAGGATGCGATTTTTATTCCTCAGTTCCTTTTCAGTAAACAATAGAATAATGGCGACAAATCTTATTGTCAAAGTTTGGCGCTAAAATTTCCTTTTTGACAGCCAATAGGTAAACAATGGACTGAGGTGATCATATTGTGCTATATCAGCTGTTTATTGTCAACTGCTAAACATAGAACTCACTAATGTGAGGCCACAGCCTAACTGCGGTTCCCAACCCACTTGCTAAACGTGGCAACTATCGGCAAAACCCTTAATAAAAGGAGGTCTTCAGAAGCGGACAGACGAAATTGCTACTAGTAAGTATTTAACTATAAATGTTTTTATGTTTACACTTTATTGCACTAGTTTTTTATGGGATGAAAATGGAATAGTAACCCGTCTTCACTATTGGTGTAAGAACGCTGATGGAGTATTTGTGAGGGATAATTGGTGATAAAGTTAGATCAATTAACTCATTTTTAGTAAATTAACCAGGAATAAATCATGATGGTCTCCAGGTAGGATATAACAAGGTTTTTTTTTCTATGCCACTTAGAATGGTGAACAAGCTGACGGCCCACCTATCGCCTATAGACATGAACAGTACCAGGCTATACTTATTGTTAGCGAAAGGGACCCTAAACTTAAAATCTAGCAATTTTTTTTTATTTATATTAATCAACTAATACCACCAGGCTTGGTTGTTTTTTTTTTCTTTTGTCTGTTATGCTATATTATTAGCTTTTTTTGTTTTTTTTTTCTTTTGTCTATTATGTTGCTATGCCATTTTAATTTTGTAATTCTAAAAACATAAATTAAACAAGAATGCACACAATTATCCAACATATTCGTAATCCAATTTTAAGAAAAAAAGTAGATTATTTATTATTATTATTATTATAGAGGCAGCGTTCGTGTGATCCAATTTAAAAAAAAAATTAGGTCATGCGCGTGTGCAAAATATTATTAACCCTACGAACGTCGATTGCGGTATATAATACCATATTGCCTTTAGGAACCGCTTAATATAAATAAGATCGTAGATTATCTACTGTATTCAAAAGTGTTTTGTTATATTTTTTATTGTAAAAGCTACATGAATGAAAGATTTAAAAAAAAAGTGATAGGGATAATTTTTTTTTCTGGGTGTATAGTCGTAACTCTTATGGTCTTTTGTGCTTTTTTTACTGTTTACTTAGAAATATTATCAGTTTTGCAAGGAATTGTTGGCAGTATTCTATAAAAAAAAAATTTTACTTGTAAAGATTTGCTTTGATTTAACATTGAAATGGTGTGTAGACTTTGTTATGAACCAATTACTAAAATATTCTCAGTTTCCTGTCCTCAGTCTTCTGCGAACTTCATGAGCAGGAGACTGAGATTGAACCAGGATATTGAGACTTAGTGTTAATTTTGGAAACGATTGTCTATTAATTACTCAATTTCATTACTAATTATACAATAGATTGCCTTACTTGTTTTATACTAAATTATTAAGCAATCGTTTTAAATAGCAGTTAACACTACTGGGTGAAAAATATTTTGAGTTATTTATTTAATTAAAAGGTTATTTATTAATCTATGTAGGAGGGGGAAAAGGGATTGTTAGTAATGGAGACTGAGAATCTCATTGCTAGCAATATACCCAACCAGGTCGACCTCCTCACGGTTCTCCCTGGAAACTATCATGGTTAATTACTGATGAATTCATCATGATGGGCTAACTGACCTGTTTTCATTCTCATCTATTACCTTTCACTGGTGCTCCGCCAGCGTATCCCGTTAGCGCAGGCAGAGTTACCATACCATTTTTCCGCATCAAAAAAAAATCTATGTAGGATAGTAAAACTATTTCCATCAATAAATAAGGTATTTATTCATACTTAAGGCACATATATTAATGAGAAAATATAAACTACAATTATAGCATAACTTATTGTTTACAAAAAAATGGCAAAGATATATTACGTAGATATAGATTTTCTTTCCAAATGCCACTATTACTGGCAGCCTAACCATGGATCAAACTTCTAAGAAACTTATTTATACTTTTGATGAATCGACGATGAGTCCTCGTAAAAGAAAATCTAGTATAAAAAAATCATTAGATCTTGTTAAGTCAAAGAAAACAAAGATATGTGTAATGAAAGAAAACTGTAAAGGCATTAAATTAAAAGCAATCCAAATTGAACAATCAACTACAAAAAAGAGTACGACAAAAGCTACAAAAACTGGAAAAAGAACGAGAACTACAAGAGAAAAGGAATCAGTTGATTGTTTTTGCCTGATGTGTGGTGCATCATATAATGAAGACACCATGTGAAAAGATTGGGTCCAATGTATTATCTGTAATCAGTGGGTACAAACTGGTTGTATTTTTTTTTTTACGACACAGGGGGCAAACGAGCATGCGGCTCACTTGATGGTAAGTGACTACCGTCGCCTATGATCACCCACAACACCAGCGGCATTGCAGGTAGCACACCTGCCTTTAAAAAAGAAATATACTCTTTTCTTGAAGGTTATGTTGTCGTATCGTTTCGTAAATACCGCTGCTGGAAGTTATGCTTTGAAAAACGCACGGTGGAAGACCGCCACTCGTCCAGATGATTGGGGTGAAACTTTAGTTTGTGGCGGGTTGTACGGTGGTGAAAATTAGCAGCAGGTATCGATCCGAGCAAAAGTGACCTCATTTCCTTTACATGTTCGGAGTGCTTATAAGATTGCGACTACATATGAATACTGAAATTTAATTAGTATCTATTTATGTTTTTTTTTAATGGATGATAATGGAATGGTAACCAGTGAAGGATGATAGGTGAGGATGAAGCAGGTCAGTTAGCCCATCGTGACGAATTCAACAAGAATTGTTCACGATGGTTTCCAGGGGGAACCACGTGGAGATCGCCCTAATTAGGCATATTGCTAGCAATGGGGCTGTCAAACTCCATTACTAACTATCTCTTTCCCCCCCCCCCCCCTATCTATAAAGGTTTGTTTATATATATATATATATATATATATATATATATATATATATATATATATATATATTTTCTACTGACTATTCCCAAAAAAATTGTTGTTTGTTCTTGGCATAATATTTTTAAGATTGTAATATGACTGATTATGATTATCGTACAGTGAGATTAATGATTAAGTAAAGTTGATGATTAAATAAGAAAAGTATCTATTATAGAAGACTGAATATTAATACATCTGTCTATTAATACTTAATATTAATTAATAATACCTATTACTTAAAAAGCTGTAAAAAAGTTATGAAGAGTTTCGAGTTTTATGTTTCTGTTTTTTTTTCGTGAGTTTTATGTTTTAATCTATTTCAAATTATTCTTCATTACGTTGTTTAGTACCTAAGTAATTTGATTACAATAAACATTTGTTAACAATGACTTATTATTTGAAATCTCAGTACCCTGTTTCCATCTTTTTTTGATTAGCCAGTTTTAGATCAATATAGAAACAATTTAAACTATAGTTCAAACTACTTCTTTTGCCTAAAATGCAAACAAAAGTCTGTGCCGGAATTAACATGGTTTTCATCCTTCTTAAATAGAATCACCCATATCTTAATTGCTATGTGGATCCGGTATAGAATATTTCGCTTTTTTTCGTGGGGGTTGTAAGAGACGAGTAAGGAAAATTTAATCGTCGAGCGATGGGCAGTAGCGTTTCTTTTAAAATATCAACAAAGCGTAACTGCTATTTGCAATTACTTAGAACTTGAAAGTTATTTATCAGTAATTAATTATGTTTTTTGCAATGCAATTCTATCGAATGATTCATAGATGCATATTATTCTTTATGCAATTATTTATTTACCTTAATGCAAAAGAAAACTTGTGTATTACAATTTATGTTGAGATAGGCAATAACATAAAATGTAAATACAACCCACTTTCTCGTACTTACGGCTTGCATACAATATTAAGTTACAACTAAGTAAGTAATTAAGGAGTAATATTTTTTCTGATTTTTAATAAACGTTCAAAATAAATCCGATTACACTGGTACATTTGACAGATATCATGTTTCTCGCACGAGTGGATAAACTCTACTTGACTTGTCAACTGGTAATCTCATCCATTCACTATCCCATCTTTCAACTCACCAATAAAAGTCGAGAGGCGGGGCTTGTGAAAGAGATAGATATCCCTAATTTACGATGTGTACGAAAGAGACAGGTGCAGGGTGGTAGGCTGTCACAGTAGGCGGGATGTCGGAAATGAATGAAGCCGGGTAGACTTGACAGTGTAAGTTTGAAATTCGCGTCGAATACTACCAGTGGCGGTGCACGGGTTAACTAATGACGTATTACGCCGATTCGAATTTTAAATTCGGCCGTTATATTATTTTTTAATTAAAGTTAATATTTTTTCTATAAAAAATTGTGTGTAATCAAATATCAGACTTTTATTTATAATTTGAATTTCTTTTTTATTAAAGAAAAAAAAATGATGTTTTTGATATTGGACTAGATTTAGTTGAACTAGTGAAGTGACACAGTGTCCAATAGTTTGTTGTCATAATATTCCGCGATGTCGGAAACAGGTCGACGCGGTGCTGCCTACACTATTGATAATATACTCGGGCATAGAGACAGACAAACAGGTATGTTATTGATTATATAGGTATTCCTATACTTAGTGCTGCCAATTAAACTATTTATTAAGTAGAATTAAAAAAAATACTTTATCCAAAAGTTGATTAGAAGAAATAGCTTTTAGTTATAATTATGTTCATTATTTATGTTTTATGTTTATTATTTTTTTTTATTTCTGTTTCTTCTAATAATAATATGCTAAATATTTTTTTTTTATTTTTGTATGAAAAAATAAAGAGTCTATATAAGTAATTAATTTAATAGGAAATTAATTAAATGGACAAATGTATATAATTAAATTATATAATTAATTGTATATATAATAAAAATATTATATAAATGTATTATATAAATATGTAAATTAAATAATGCTAATGATATGTACCTAAGTAAGTAAACTACATACCTACCTAATTAAAATTTATTTATATTTTCAATTTATTTAATTTTAAGCTCTTATTTAAAATCCTTTTGAACATTTTTTTTAATATTCATTATATTATACTCATTTCGGGACCATGCGTATACTACATATGGTCCCGGCATAGAATAGACCAGAGAATGGATACGGACAGTTAACGTTAACTGTCCACTGCTGAATAAGCCTTCCCCATAAGGGGAATTTTGCCAGTAGTTGCCACGTTTAGCAGGCGGGTTGACAATCGCAGTTAGGCTTTTAGGTATGTTTTAAGACGAACGCTGCTGCACATCCCTCAACTCTTAAGTTCCCTCAGTCGTCTCTTACGACACCCACAGGAAAGGAAGGGGTGGCCTATTCTATCCTGGGACCACGCGGCCAATAAAATTGCCTCAGACTACGCAAAAAATAACTACAAAAAACTTCGCATTACTATATGTCCAACTATTATCGTTATGTCACAATAACCACTTTTTACATTTTAAAAGTTAATAGAAATATCGACCAAAATTACACCATGTTATTTATACTTCTGTTTAATTTTTTTTTATACTACTTAGAATGGCAAACAAGCTGACGGCCTATAGGCATATAGGCATAACAGAGTATACATACTGTTTCGCCCATGATAACCCCCATGCGTTACTATTCCTGAGGGCTCAGGTGTTATTCTTCTGTACCCTGTAAATTCACTGCCATATCCCTGCCTTCAAACCGAAACACAGCCATACAACTTGATGTTCCATATCCCTGCCTTCAAACCGAAACACAGCCATCATAAGACAGTCTACTGATGTCCAATAGTAGAACAAGGGGGAAAGGGATTGGGTAATGGATACCATTTTCACCCATCAAAAAAAAATCAACCTGTCGATGGCGAGCGGTTCGATGGTAAAAAGAAATTATCATTTCAAACGATTCCTGATAAACACATCGTTATACAAATGTTTTCAGAACTCAAATCAGGGAGGCAAAGTCCATCGCCCAGATTTAAACCCATCAAAAAAAAAATACCGCCTGTGAGATGGGATAGTCGATAGTTACGTAAAAAGTGAACGTGAGATACCATTTATAACTGATTCACGCGGATGAACACAATCCGTTAAACAAATAAAATTACAGAATTTGGACAGATTTTTATTTTATTTTATTTTTATTCGTTACCGTCTGTGAGCATGGGATAGTCGACTATTCTCATAGTTACGTCCTAACTTAACACATGTGATACCTACTTTATATGCTGATTCACGCGGATGAAGCCGCGGTATAGAGCTAGTAAACAAATAAAATTACAGAACTTTGGACAGATTTTTATTTTATTTTATTATTATTCCACATTTATTTCTGTATTTCGATACCGCCTGTGAGCATGGGATAGTCGACTATTCTCATAGTTACGTCCTAACTTAGCACATGGGATACCTACTTTATATGCTGATTCACGCGGATGATGCCGCTCGATAGAGCTAGTAAACAAATAAAGTTACAGAACTTTGGACAGATTTTTATTTTATTTTATTTTTATTTCACATTTGTTTCCGTATTTTGATTTTTATTATTTTTCAATCGATTTCAAAAAAGTAGGTCCTTAATTTAGATTGTATTTTATTTATGTTTGTTACCTCATAACTCCGTCAGTTCTAAACCGATTTGGATAATTACTTTTTTATTTGATGGCCTACAGATTTGTTCCATAGATATTTTATAAAAAGCGCTTCAGTATAGTAGTTTTTAGATTAAAATTAAATAATTTTGTCACAATTGAAGTCGAATTGTTTTTTTAGAATATAATGTTTTAATTATTTTGTATGAAAAAGGAAATTTTAAATCGTTTCATCATTACTTCATTACATTGGTAAAAAATATATATTCCAAAAAGGAATTTTCACAATAACATATATCTGATATTACAATAATATTTTTAAACAGTACAGCATATTTATTTATTTATTATTAATTATTAACTAGCGGCCCGTCCCGGCGTCGCACGGGTGGACATTTTTACATTTTAAAAAGTGGCCATTAAGGCTGCACACGCGACGGAAGCTTAAAAATGGAGTAACTTCTCCCGTTTTCCCAACATTTTCCTTCACTGTTCTGCTCCTATTGATCGTAGCGTGATGAAAAGTATACTATAACCTGCCCAGGAGTATGAAGAATAATTGTACCAAGTTTCGTTAAAATCCGTCGAGTAGTTTTTGTTTCTATAACGAACATACAGACAGACAGACATAAATTTTACTGATTGCATTGTTGGCGTCAGTATCGATCACTAATCACCGCCTGATAGTTATTTTGTAAATATATTTCATGTACAGAATTGACCTCTCTACAGATTTATTATAAGTATAGATTAAAACAACAGTATATAGGAGATAAAGAGAGAATTTACAAATTGCTTTTGTTAAACCAATACACCGCCATTTACTCTCTCCGTTTAGCGTAACAGTTGACTGATAAAGAATGTTATCAGGCATTAAGTCCGCCCTGTAGACATATTTTAATGTGTGCAAAAGTATAAATAAATAAAAATAAAATAAATAAATAGATAGATACTCTTTATTAACGATAATTACTAACGATTATACTAACGATTAATTACAAGAAGGATGGATTTACAAAAGGTTATTATACCCACATTTAACATAGTATAACATTGTCCACGAAACCAAGCGGTGGTGTTATTTAATAAGCTGCCTAAGGAATTGAAGTCACTGAATGATTTAAATATCTTCAGGACAAATTTGAAGTCATTACTGCTAGAAAGGTGTCTGTACTCAATTGACGAATTCTAATTATAGTAAATTTGAATATATACCTATATTGTTTATGTTAAGAGATGACTAAGTGACTGTAATATTTGTTTTATGCTTGATTTAATTTATATTTCATATAGTGTATGAAATTATTGTATCTACTATAACATTCAAATATAAATTTTTGTTTATGAATAAACAAAATAAAAAAATAAAAATAAATATTGTTTATTCCATAAGATTACAATAGTAAACTTATTATAAATACAAGGAAATATTACACTATATTACATAAGTACGCATAAAACTATAATCAATAACTATTAATAGGAGGGAAAAACAAAATTGTTAGCAATGGAGTTTAACATCCCCATTGCTAGCAATAGGTATACCTTATTAGGTCGACCTCCACGTGGTTCCCCCTGGAAACCATCGTGAGCAATTCTTGTTGAATTCGTCACGATGGGCTAACTGAACTGCTTCATCCTCACCTATCATCCTTCACTGGTGCCCCGCCGGTGTATACCGATAGCGCGGGTGGGGTTACCATTCCATTATCATCCATTAAAAAAAAAAAAAAAAACTAATAATATTTAAAATCTCAACTTATTATACCATAATCACCCCATATTTCATAATAACGCCTCCCGCGGCGTAGCGTCCGCAAAAAAAGAATAATGAACCAATATTATAACACATGTTCACACAAAATAAAAGCTATGAATGGGCATTATCACACTCTGGTAACCATTAAAGGATTCCTTACAATGTAATATTACTGTAATTATGTTGTTATAATATTCAATATAAAGCAAAGAATCTGTAGTGTATTCGAGATTGGTTTTTGGCGACGGTACTCGAGTGTTTTATGCTTTTATTAAATATCTTGTTACTATTTATTGACGGTTAAAGTTAACCCTTTACTATGGGACTACAAAAATTTATTATTTTTATTATATATAATAGTATATTAGCTGTTAAGTGCCCACTGTTGAACGTAAACCTCCCAGATGGACTGCCTTTGTAAAAAGCTGAGAATGGATAGCCTGCCAAGCGTGGCAGCTGGTATTTTCCAGTCTTAGTATGTGGACTGGCAACCACAGTAGACTTTGGTGATGATTTAAGAGGGACGCTCTTGCCTATCTTTCGTCCAATAATTATATTATAAATACCTATATTATTTGTTGTAATAAATATCCAATCTTTAGCATATATTTTATATTGATTTATTTATAATTGTGCTATATATCTACACACCAATTACGAACCGATTTTGATATTTCTTTCTGAAATAGATAGGGTTTATTCATATGTAGGTTTAATATAATTTTGGTCTATCCTGAATCCGCTGTTTTGTGCAATACATTTTTAAATTATAGAAACCGATGTTTTGCCACCACCAAAATAATCAGATTTTATAAAAATATTAGGCAAATACTTAACACATATTTTAAATTCACAATCGGGAACCCACGTCGAAATGACGATAATAAAAAGCAGAGGGCCTACCTTGAAATATTTTCCGAAATTTTAGTCGAACGAAACACAAATTTGATGTTAAAATTACATAATATATACCATTTAAAAATGTTAAAATATCGTTCCTTTAGACTATTTTGTTGAGATTTATGACGAACGAAATGTTAAATTCCATTAAACTGATCGATTTTGATATGAACAAAAACACAAAATTGAAAATTCGGAATTTGATTTCATGGTGAACCCGTAGTAGGTATATAATCTGTAATAGGTACTATTTACCTGTAATCGCGGTGCCTTAGTCTCAATCGTGAATTTAAATACGAGTAGGTATCTTTGCGTGACAGAATCCGAAACGAGGATATCCGCAAAAGAACCAAAATAACCGACATAACTCAAAGGATAAGCAAACTGAAATGGCAATGTGCTGGTCACATAGCTCGAAGAACCTACAAACGATGGGGAAGAAAGGTTCTTGAGTGGTGGCCCCGTAAGTAGTAGAGTGACGACCTCAAATGCAATGCAGGGAGTCAGTGGATGCAGGTGGCTCTGGACCGTTCCTTATGGCAGTCTATGGTGGAGGTCTGTACCCAGCAGTGGACGGATTAATGGCTGAAATGATGATGATGATGATGAGGTATGTGTAAACAACTTCAATGTTTAAAAATAACTATTATCAGAGATGTCCTAGTACCATATTTTTACTCAATAATTTCCCAGTATTCCTTTAAATCCTACCAATATTAGTAAACTAATTGACTTCTAAGAGACGTACCTATTTTCGGGAACTCGATACCTGTCAACTATAAGAGAATCGACAATAAACCTTATTTCGAGGAAATAAGCTATTTTTCTGTAATTGAATGCATTATTGTAGTACAACAAGCAATTTGGAACTTTACACGAACGGTGAATAGAATATATATTTGTGTGAACACTTCGGAGAATATGTGATAGCATCAAAATATGGAGTGCCAATTTGAAGGGATTATTCTCATATGAAACGGTATCTTGTTGGAGTACTCTATACAGAAATTACTCTGTATCGGATTTAAAACTTCGCGAATAAATCATGAAAGAGTTCAAACGTTACAGCGTTCAAGTTAATTTGTTCAGTCGCAAAAAATGATATTCAATTTTCGTATATCTGACTTCAAAAAAGTAGGTTTTGATCGTCAAAAAAATATCAAAATTTCGGTATACGTACGTGTGCTTTGGGATGAAGAAGTGCACATTTTTTTATGCAACTTAGAATGGCAAACAAGTTGACGGCCCACCTGATGGAAAGTGGTAATCGTCGCCTATAGACATGAGCAGTACCATAGACATAACAGAGTATACTGTTTCACTCTTGATACCCCCCAAGTAATATATACTTTTTAGTAGTCAAATATTTATTTATTTATTCAAAGGAACACCAACAGTATATTACATTATAATATATATTACAAATATAATACAATATTTCCGTATGGTCCCAGCATAGAATAGGCCACTCCTTCCTTTCTCGTGGGTGTCATAAGAACCGACTAAAGGAGGGCGAGGAATGGGCAGCAGCGTCCCTCTTAAAACATCTTTGAAGCTTAACTGCGGTTGCCAACCCGCCTGCTAAGCGTGGCAACTACTGGCAAAACCTAAGGGGAGGCTTATGTTCAGCAGTGGACAGTATGTTGCTGATATGATGATGCATACAATGTTAATGCACATGACTATTAAAGGTATTCACAGAATTTAACATAATTAAGATAAAGATATATTTATTTAACAAAGTATGTTTGTATTAGCACAGAATTTATCATTGCTTCCTACACTAGGCTGAGCCTGTCCTGCAGGAAGCAGTACTCGTGTTATTATATACATGCATATAGATATTAAACATAGGCTTTTTAGCAGTACTGACAATTGTGTAACTAATTTGTATAATGCAATTATTTCTTTAGATCTCACCACCAATACACATGTATGAATAAGTATTATGTATGTGTGTGTGTGCATGTGTGTGTGTATGTGGTGTGTGTCTGTGTTTTTTTTGTGTGTGAGTCGGCGTGTGTGTGTGTGTGTGTCTCTCTCTCTGTGTGTGTGTGTGAAATATATTTATTAATTAATTTATTTATTTACACTTTTTTGCATCATTTTTAAAATTACCAACACAATAAATTTTGATAAGAAGTAAAAGACAGAAAGCAACCTTATCGCTAAGCAATCTCTTTCAGACAACTTTTGAGTAAAGAACATTGGGGAAAAAAGACAATAGGTAGTGAGTTCCACAGACGAACTGTCTGAACAGTAAAAGATTTACAATAAAAAAAAAAGTGGAATAAGCAGAAAATTTGAGGCGGGATTATATAGGTATTTAATATTATTTTTTATTTGTAATTTAATATAAAACATAGCTAAAGTGTAGGATAATTAAAAGCAAATTAATAATGTATCTAATATATATATAATTTACAATATAATAGGCAGCTAAGTACGACGCTAAGTCAAATTTAACGTTAATATGAAATGAGACAATTAGTTCACACTGATTGTCTATGACTCGACACAACTTTGAATCGCAATAGAATCGCTCACAATAGCTAAAAACCTTAATTAAATTCCTTATTAGCTACAATGTAACACGGTTAATTGTTTAACGCGATATTAATTTTACAATCTCACCTCTTTGATATGATTAGTGATGTTACTTTATTAGAATGTTAGGTATTGAGTTGATTCGATGTTAAATTATTCGAGTTGATTCGATACATATTATTCGTTTGGGAGTAAATTGTTTATAAAGTCTCTATTCCGCATCTATATGTTAATTTAAGACTTGTGTACTTAAATTTGAATTAAATCTATGATTTAGTTGATGCCGAGGAACAGTTGTGTTTATATGGCTATGCTTTTGATGGTGGTAGTGAGATATGACAGTGAAATTATATATATATATATATATATATATATATATATATATATATATATATATATATATATATATATATATATATATATATATATATATATATATATATATATATATATATACTTTTCGTCAGATGGGCTGTTAACTTGTTTGCTGTCCTAAATATCATAATAAATTATCTATTACACTTAAGGCTGTAATAGATATTTGTAATAATAATGAGGCCATTTTTATCAACCTATTTATAAACCTATTATTTTAATTTGATAGTTTCGCAAAATTACTATTTTATGGACCATCACAAACTAAACTTATTAAAATTTATTAAAACTAAACTTATTAAGATTTTGCTGTATCAAATTGAAATTTTAATTTCGGAAATAAGTGTAGAGAAATACCGCCTCAGAATTGGCGTCAACGGCGTGTCTATTTAAAGAAAAGGACTTAAAATATTAGTAAATAGAATCGATTGTCGCACCATCGCGATCCCATCACTATACATTGAATTACGTTCGAATCAAAGGTCGAAAGTTCAAATGCCTATTCAGAACGACTGCTCGTTAATACAATAAACATTTTTCTTTACATCTTAATACGTTTGTACGTCTCTTTGTTGATCATTACAAAACTCTGTGTAACAATTATAACAAAGAAATTAAAATGGTATTAGTATAAATAAATAGTGAACATAATATCTAGTGACGTTAAGTGCTTAACAAAAAAGAACGTTTTGCACCGGTACTTTTTAGTGAGGGTCATCACTAGTGGCAGTGTTGATATAATTTGAATCTTTTGCATCTGGTGCTAAGGTCGAATTTCGTTTGTGTCTCCTTTTAATTAGTTAGTCGAAAGTTTACGGAGGGTGGTAATTCTGTATTATGCAGGGTTGGTAGTCTGTCAGTGTGTTTGTTCGGCGATATGTCGAGAATTGAGGATTAAGGGATCGATGTCATGTCACGGGCCAGCGTGGTGGGAAAAATGTTTGATTTCGTACAATTTTGATTTAAATGTCGCACTTAAATCGTATGCACTCGGAGCAACAGTCGGTAAGCAACATTGAGAATAGTCAAACTTTGGATGGGTGATCATGTAGTGGCATCTTGATTTTTGTAATTCTATAATCTACTTAAGAGCATTTTTAACGTTAGCTTATTGAAGTAGTACGTTGTAATCATTTATTTATTTATTCCTTATAATAATTATAGATACAAATAATACATAAGAAATATACTTATAATACATAGACATTACTTTTAACATATATGGATATACTAATATAAAATTATTAGTAAATTTAAAATAACAATTTGACAATTTAAAATACTTAAATGAAAAGAAAATGTTTTTACAGATCGGATAGAACTGAAAAGTGAAAGTGGTGGGCACTCAGATTCCGAGCACGAGCACGACCATGACCACGAGCACACCGAGCACGGCGAGCATAGCGACCACACACACAACGAGCACACAGATCACGGCGAGCATTTAGAAGCACTTGATGCTGGGCGACCACGCAAGGTAATTTGCTAACATTATTATAGCCTAAAAGACTAGCTCCCTTATTCATAAAAAGTTATACGTCTCATAAAGTAGTATTAATATAGCCAATGGCAGTGAATTATGAGGCACAGTTGTTTATCACTCCGATTTCACACAATGCGTACATGCGTAATACATGCGTACAATAAGCATACAGACAGTGGTGAGCATTTAGAGGTGCTTGATGCTGAAAGAGAGAGAGAGAAAATCAGCGCTATATAGGTACATCTCCATGTCGTGTGGCCCCCGCATAGAATAGGCCACCCCTTCCTTTCCCGTGGATGTAGTAAGAGGCGACTAAGGCAGGGCGAGGAATGGACAGCAGCGTCCCTCTTAAAACATCTCCAAAACCTAACTGCGGTTGCCAATTCGCATGCCAAGCGTGCCAACTATTAGACCCCCTTTCCCCAAGTGGGGGTCTATGTTCAGCAGTAGACATTTAAAGGTTGATCATGATACATCTCGCTGTAGGTGTGCATATATAGCAATAGCTAAGGCGGCTCCAATTACCAGCAAAATGTATTGTTTTTTTTTTCTATTTGTATTGTTGTTTATTTTTATTTGTAATTCATATTAGTATTGTTGTTGGTAATAAAGAATCAATCAATCTATCTATCTAGTGTTGTACTCGTATTATTAGGTACTCTGCGAGCAGTCGTTATGCGTAGAATTTGCAAGCAGGTTATTGCGAGCATTTGTCTGTAAACGCTTGAAGTATCCTGCGTACTTGACAAAATCTTCTTCTACAAGCATATTAAGAAGTTGATATATAATATTTTCAACCGACTTCTAAAAAGAAGAAGGTTCTCAAACCGGTTGTATCTTTTTATATTTTTTACATCATTTATAAGCTGATTTGGATTTTCTTTATCCGAAAGTATATATACTTTCAGATTGGTCCCCATACAAATTTTATTAAAATCAGTTTAGTAGTTTTGTTTCACGAATTTTTCAAATTGGTTTACAACTGATGGAGTTATGAGGTAAAAAAGATCTTCTTTTTAAATTGATGATTGATGAATTGAGAAAAGAGTAAAGTAGTCCATTTTATAGTAATAAAATCTTAGTAATAAAAAAAAAAACTATTAAACGCTTATTGCATAATGTTTAATTATATGTGCAAGCAGGTACGCCGCAGCCGAACTACCTTCACCACGTACCAGCTGCACGAGCTGGAGAGGGCCTTCGACAAGACGCAGTACCCTGACGTCTTTACCAGGGAGGAGTTGGCCATGAGGCTGGACCTCAGCGAAGCCAGAGTACAGGTTAGCCAATCGAATTAATACTTATTAATTAATGTTAGAAAATAAATTCAGTTATTTCAATTGTTAATTGTATGTCCCGTATTCAAATGGTATCTATTTTATTTATTTACAAGCTTTTATCTGCGGCTTCGCTCGCGTATAATATTTGATTTCTCCTTCTATAAAATTTCACATGTCCAACTTCTTTAGTTGATTGAGTAAATTTAGTAAATTGAGTAAATTATTTTTTTTTTTATTATGTATTTATCCTTTATTGACCACATTATAAAAAATGTTTAATACAAAAGGCGGACTTAAAGCTATATAGCATTCTTTCCCACTCAAACTTTGGTAAAAATTTACTTAATTCATGTTTACATATAGATTTTTCTTCATACACAAACAGTTTTATTTTTGCTATGCAAAGAAAAATGGCGGCTTCGAACGTCATAAATTTAAAATGAAACCAACACGACACTGGCAGTAAACCTCGCCGATTGCAAACAGAATTGTGGAAATTCAATTCGGTAGCTATATAATTATTATAATTACTTATTTACGAAAAAAAAAAGTTACATAATATGATGTTACAATTTGTTAATATTCGATCTTTGTAGGTTGTATTTATCAGACATCTAAATAATTATATAGTTATTCACCAAATTTCATGTTTAATAACCTACCGGCTTTTTTTTTTTGATAGGTGAAAATGGTATGATAACCCCGCCTGCGCTAACGGGATACGCTGGCGGAGCACCAGTGAGGGGTGATAGATGAGAATGAAAACAGGCCAGTTAGCGCATCATGATGAATTCACCAGGAATTAACCATGATAGTTTGCAGGGGGAACCGTGAGATGGTCGACCTGGTTGGGTATATTGCTAGCAATGGGATTCTCAGTCTCCATTACTAACAATCCCTTTCCCTCCAAACTACCGGCTTAAGCTGTACATCGTCAGATTATCAATCAATACAAATTTTACAATAGTTCTTTAGAATAGAATAGAATAGAATAGAATTTTATTGCTAACTGTGTACATATATATAGCAGTAACTATTGCTTTGAATTTGACATCAGTATCAACAGTTATACCCTATCGGGCATGCAACAGTTTGAGAACAGGTAATTATATTAACATCGAAACATTCAATACTATTACCATTACTTGATTACAAATAAATATGAAATATTATACAATACAATTAACAAGACAAAGAATAATCATAACCAAATTAAAATAAAATAAATATAATTTCGCTTACATGTCAATTGTTATTAATTATTAATTTAATGAGTTTTAAGATTAAAGTATTCATTTAAATTATAAAAAACATTATCAAAAAGCCAAGCTTTGAGTTTAATTTTAAACATATGCTTATTCTGACATTTAATGTTTAAGGGAAGATGATTAAATTTAACATGTTGTTGTTGTATCAGCCGTTAATTGCCCACTGTTGGGACTGTCCATATTGGGACTAGCTGAAAACCAGCGCTGTACTGTTGTACACACCATACTGGGGTACTCACAGCATCAGCTGAGCCAGTTCCTTTCGTCTAATATGAGATATTTTATTTATTTAATAAATATTTTCTTTTATATTCTATATACTGCTGAACTGCTAGCCTCCCCTATATAGTAGTTGCCACACTGCCGTTACTTATATATTGCTAGCAATGGGATTCTCAGTCTCCATTACTAACAATCCCTTTCCCCCCTTTAGCAGTCGGTTGCAAATGCAATCGGATTGCTAACTAATTAGTTATGTTAATAAACAAAAGCCGTCTCTGTGCTCAATTTTACAAGATTTATTTACAAGAATTATTTATTGATTTACAATTATTTACAAGAATAGAGTACGTCAAAAAGTGCTCTATTCTTGTAAATAATAATATCAGTGTTTCGTTTAAAATTACCGTTGAATTAATCAGTGCAGGTAATTATAACTAATTGACAACTATAATGTTAATTTTAATAGAAAGCAATCAACGTTGCGGTTGTATTAATATTTCGTACATTTAATAAACTGTCTGCTCGTATGTGTATGGAGATAATTATGCACAGTTTAGGACTAATTAATATTTATTATTAATTTTAATCAACGTTAATCGCACTTTGTTCGTTCGATGTAAATTCATTGTTTTCAAAGAGATATAATTATTATTACACACTAGCTTTCACTCCTGACTTTGTTCGTATATCTGGGACGAAATGATTGACAGAGATAAATATTTATCTACGAGTATAAGTATGTTATCCCCGTCTGCGCTAACTGCCTGCGCGATGATTATTGTTAGCCATTACAAGTTCCATAAAAAAGGTACCTAGGTATTATTAATAAATGCGCAAGTTTGTAAGAATAGATCTCTTGAAAAGATTTGAATGCAATTTGGTAGACAGATAGCTTCTTGTATCATATATATATATATATATATATATATATATATATATATATATATATATATATATATATATATATATATATATATATATATGTGTGTGTGTATGTGTGTGTGTGTTTGTGTGTGTGTATATATGTATATATAGGTAATTTATAAGCTGATTTACGTGGGCGAAGCCACAGAGTACAGCAGTTCAGAAATATTTTTTTGTAGACAATCATGAATACGTCAATATTATGGAAATAGCCCTCTTAACAATTTAAGCACAAGTACTATAAACTAAAAGACTGTAGTGATTCGAATCGCAAGCAATTAGCTGAATGAGTCGCTAATGAGCGCTAATGTGGTTTACGATAGGGTTGTCACTGCAAAGATTTGTATCAGGATGAAATTAAACATGTCTCTACTAGTATTAACAAAATATTTTTTTTTTTTTATTTTATTAAAGGTATTATGAAATTCGAAGACGTTTTATGATATTATCTTTCAGTGTTTTTTTTCATTACAATCATTCAAGTATATTCAATTAGATCAAAATAGTGAAATAGCTCACAGTCCTGCATGATACGGGTGCGAGCATTATGCATGAATAAGTGCTTTATTAAGTACTTAATTTAAGTAAATTTAAAAAGAAGTTGTACTTTAGAAATATTGTTTTTTTTTATTACTAGACTGCATGCTTGCCGATAACTAGTATATAATTAATGTATAATAGTTATCTATACTTATAATAAATCTGTAGAGAGGTCAATTCTGTACATGAAATATATTTTCAAAATAACTATCAGGCGGTGATTAGTGATCGATACTGATGTCAAAAATGCAATCAGTAAAATTTTTGTCTCTCTGTCTGTATGTTCGTTATAGAAATAAAAACTACTCGACGGATTTTAACGAAACTTGGTACAATTATTCTTCATATTCCTGGGCAGGTTATGGTATACTTTTCATCACGCTACGATCAATAGGAGCAGAGCAATGAAGGGAAATGTGTCTGTTACATCAAAACCACTGAACCGTGAGGAAGGACATAGGCTACTTACTTTACGAAAAACGACGGAAACGTGGACGAAGTCGCGGGCAACAGCTAGTAAAAAATAAATTTAAAATGTAATAATATATTTTATGTAAGTATTTATAGTTTAACAATGCTCTTTATGTTTACTTGCGAGGGTTATCACTTATTCCAAATTTCATATAAAAATTATGACTGTTGATCTTACACTTCGAATCGTTTTACTTTATCCAATTAATAAAATAAATTGGGTTGACACCGTAGATTATGTGTAAAAATAATTTTCACTTAAGTTATTTAAGTAAATTATTTATTTAAATTAATCAAAACATTTCTTATTTTACTTTAATTGAATTGTAAAATTTTGTTTGCTTGACAACCCTACCTACGTAGTGAGGTGAGGTGACGGACGCGGTAAACATTAGGGCTGTTCACACGAGAGTATAATGACGGAGTGAATTAGCAAACTATTGTGTACACCAGGCTCAATTCTAGCTTCAGACCTTACAACTGAACTGGCAGATAATAAGAAAGTATTAAGAGATGATACTCCAGATTACTCGGTGACCTATGGAGAGGACTATGCTCGGAGTTTCTTTGCTTCACAGAATAACAAATGAGGACATCCGTAAAAGAACTAAAATCAGCGACACAGCCCGAAAGATAAGCAAGCTGAAGTGTCTATGGACAAGAAATATTCCTGAGTGGTAACCCCGTACGGGCGAGGGGAAAGGGATTGTTAGTAATGGAGACTGAGAATCCCATTGCTAGCAATATACCCAACTAGGTCGACCTCCTCGCGGTTCCCCCTGGAAACTATCATGGTTAATTCTTGATGAATTCATCGTGATGGGCTAACTGGCCTGTTTTCATTCTCATCTATCACCCTTCACTGGTGCTCCGTTAGCGTATTCCGTTAGCGCAGGCGGGGTTACCATACCATTTTCACCCATCAAAAAAAAACCCCGTACGGGCAAACATAGTGTAGGATAACCGCTTTTAGATCGAGTGACGACATCACAAACGACATTCATTACAGAGAGTCAGTGGATACAGGTGGCTCAGGCCCGTTCTTTATGGTAGCCTATGGGGAATGATACTGATATCGCAGGCGGGGTCACTATTCCATTCTCATCCTTTAAAAAAAGTATACAAAGAAATCCTATCAGAGTGGATAATTAAAGACTAAAATAATTTTTTTTATGCAACTTAGAATGGCAAAGAAGCTGACAGCCCACCTGATGGAAAGTGGTAACCGTCGCCTATAAAGACGAGCAGTAGTACCATGTAAATAACAGAGTATACTGTTTCGCCCATGATACCCCCATGCGTTGCCATTCCTGAGGACTCAGGTGTTATTCCTCTGTACCCAGTAAATTCACGCCATATCCCACCCTTCAAACCGAAACACAGCCATGCAAACACAACTGCTTCACGGTTGAAACACGAATGGGACAGAGGTACCCAAACAATCGACTTGTACAAAGTCTCCCTCTGGTAAAGGATAATGATATTAACATTAGTTCATAATTGGCGACGTGATCGCGTGAAATAATAAAAAAAAAATATAAACAAATTGTGAGTCGCTTTTTAAAGGTCTTAAAA